GCAGCTGGCGTCACCAAGTTGGACCGAGTGTGCGACAGCGTCTGGTCTTTTGCGGTGCTGGAGAGAGTCGAAGTCGGCTTTGGACTCGACGGTGGTGTGGGCCGCTATCAAAGCGGGGCGGCGCCTTCCCTCTCGTCTTGGGAGCTCCTTCCCGCCGCCATTGGTCGTCAGGTAATCCTGCGCGCTTCCCGCAAGCTTAATCTGCCCTAGCGCACACTCTGTTTAATGCACTGTCCCTGCACCCTTCAACCACTCACCGGCGACAATCACCATGTCGCGTTTTGCAGGCGTCAAACGTCTTGCACTTATTGGGTGTCAGCAAATCTATGCCCTGCCGACCGCGACGCCAACTCGCTGGGCAGACTTCGCTCCCGAGGGCACGAGGCGTGGTAGCATGGTCCCGTCTCTCGTTTTTCCTATACCTCTGAGGGTCCTCGCAACGGCTCGAGGCGCAAGAGAAGACACGCACGACTGACCCATCTGACAGCCGTGGGAGATAAACAGCCATCGCCACGCTGACAGACAGCATAAGCACCTTGTCAGACTTGCCCATAAACCAGCTTCTTCCCGCTGCAGTGTTCAGGCCTGGATGCGCATCGTTTGTAAATCGTTTATTGACTTCACCCGGGCGTCTATTTCTGGGCCACCACTCCCCTCTCTCCTCTGCGCGCCATTGGCATCCAGCTCGTCTCCCAAGACAGCCTATCAGACGGCCACCTGCAGTACTCCCAGCAGCCTTCTTCTAGGCGCCATACATTTAGAACGTTGTAAGTACCCGCCCGCTTTCCCATCGCAACCTTCTCCACCTGCTACCATCCGTGCTCCCCACTATCCAATCCTCGACCGTTCCCTCTTCCAAGCGCCCCGAGTCTATAAGCCCAGCGCTTCGCCCATTGCCAGACCTTTTCTTTTCTCCAGCAGGTCTCTTATTGTAATACGTCGTGCGTCTTTTATCAAGTGTCTCTCTTAACCTCTTGCGACTGGTCTAAGCTGGGCTGGATTCTAGTCGTTGTCGTTTTGTTGCACATTCCTACCTGTCTCTCCTCCGTCTCCACTACATGAAAGCCTCCAACTTCCTCGAGTGAACCTTGGAAAGTTTTAGAATGGCCGCCAACGATAAGAAGATTACCCAGATTACGATTGAAAGACGAAGCTCCAAAGACTCTCTCGACGTCAGGACACCACGCACAGCACGCTTCGCCGAAGCAACATCAGTCCACTCGCCGGTTGATCCTCCTCGGTCACCTTTCGAGTACCCAACCAACCACTACAAGCCACAACCTCAGATCGCAGATACAGGCTTCGGCTACATGCAATCCGTCGAGATGGAAGAGACCGATCGGAGGTACCTTCCTCCACCAACGCCAAAGACTCCCCTCAAGAGCGCGTTGAAGTCGCCTGGCGCTCCTCCACGGACACCAGGTGGTGCAATGTCAATCATGAGCCCTACCTTTCGGGAAGAGCATCAGCTTGAGAAGCGGGAGGCATTGACGGACAGGGAGCAAGCAAAGGACTTGGTACGTCTGTGGTCAATATTGAGTTCAGTACAGTTGCTAACAATACCTAGAAAATCAAAGTTCGTGTTCGACTAGCTAAAATCTTCCTGCGAGGCATCAACTTTGCTTGCTCGCTCATTGTTCTTGCCATGGTTGCAAGTGCTTTCGCTATCTTCAACGCCACAAAGACTCTCGCGCCAAGGAACGGCCTACCACCATGGGCCGACAACACCAAAGTCTGGCCTCAAATCCTCTTGCTCTCGATCGCCTGTGTTTCTCTGGTTATGTCCATCTTCGTCATCATCGCCTACTGGAGAGGAGGTCATCATCGGGCTGAAAAGGTTGCCGCGTACTACACAGTCTTTGCTGTCGGGTTTTTCATCTTCAGTATCGTCATGTGGGGTGTTGGTGCAGCCGCGTTCAACCAAAGTAAAGCGCAGAACAACAACAAGGATATGTGGGGCTGGTCTTGCGTTGACAACAAGCGACGACACCTTTTCGAAGACGACATTGCTTATGGCCTTGTCTGCCGTCTCCAGGTAAGCACAATACCTTTGTTACGATAAAGGAAGCCAGGTACTAACAATCTACTAGAACTGGGCGCTTGTCTGCTGCATCATCGAAGTCGTAATCGAGGTTCTTGTTATCGCCATCTACGGAATCGTCTTCTACCGCTTCTGGTCCAAGCGCAAGCTTCGCAAGTCCATGGCCATGCGCGACCGTGCCCGATCTGATCTCTACCTTGCCCAGCTCCGCTCGCAATCTGCACCCAATACCCCTGGCTTTGGTCCCATGTCTCCCCGCTCAGGCGGTTGGCGCCCACCTCCAGGCCACCCAATGTACGTTGACCCGCACTCTGCAGCGGAAGCTGGCGAGAGCGACAAGGTGCAGTACGCATACGCGCGCGAGATTGCCCAACCCCAGCCATTCACCCTCCAGGCGCCGCCTATCAAGGTCACTGGTGCAACACCAAGAATGGAGCAAGACGGCTTCGATTCTGCACCAGTACGGACTGGCACCGTATCGCCACCACTACCATCCCCAGGATTCCAAGAAAGGAGGAACGATCACGTCGATGCCGCACCAGGTGAACAGCAGTATGCTGCTGTTCCCATCCCCGGTGCTTACACACCGCTAGCATCGCCTTCATACCCACCACCACAGCAACAGCAGCCCACTGGCTTTGACTTTGGGTCTTCAGTGACCGGTCAGCGATAAGCTTTTGAGCTTGCTGTTCGCGCGTGTGTATGTTGATTTGTTGATTTAGCGCGCATCGTACCCTTTCTCTTCTCAATCAATCTGGAATCTGGTTGCATGGATTTTGCGAAACGATATCAGGAAATGTACATTCTTCCACCTTTTCAAGCGAGGCTTCGGCCTGGGCTTATTTTTTCCTTTGTTTTACTGTCTATCGCTAATCTGGTCGGTGTTCTTGGGCTGGGATTTTAAGATACCTTTGAAGTAAAATGCCTCTTCACTACGCCTCTCGTTGTATGACATGGGGGTTGTGGAATTACTACAACAGAACAGAGTCGAATAAGATTTATCGCGATCTCTGAGAATGCTAGATGCAATATCAAGATCTTGCCTTTCGTACATCATTGTTCTTTTTGTGCATATGTCGTGATTGATGCTACTACAATCTTCAATACATAATGTAACACAGACTTCGACATTATTTCCTTTTGCGTCACGTGTCTATTGAACCATTGCATTACTCCCACCATCTTCCGATCCCTCTCAAATTAACGCAAACCCACGCCTCACAATTAATGTCAAGCACTACGCCACGCACACAGCCTGAGCGTCACGCCAAACTACTCCGCTGTGATCCAAGGCCGCAGAACAGGCCTACAGGGTTTGCAACCGCCCAGCTCTCTTTAACGCTCGGGATGCCTGTGGCACAGCGCATGAACATGCGATTACGCAATAGCGTGGCTGAGCACCGAGTGGACTTGAGGATATATGTTCAACGACGATATATTTATCATGTATTTACCATGACTACATGACTAGTTTTAGGTGGATCATTTTGTGTAAAGAGATAGTGCTAGGACGAACATCGTCACGATCAGAAGACGTCTATCCATTGAGCATGCAAGCATAAAGTGACAAGATACTCATGAATCGTTGTCATATGTGGAGGGCCTAGCCTTCGTAGAGGTGTCGCTTGCGAATCTAGACGGAATGTTCATCGTGACCTAAATCTCGTAATGCACAGCCATCACACTCGTCCAGCACAGACATGTAGATCAAGTGTTGATGGCATTGAGGTATCTGGGTGTACTAGTCGGACCCTGTCATGTCAGTACAACACAAACAGACACATCACATGCGACAACAAAGAGCATGAGGATGATCACACAATGGTTATGCGGAACATTCACCCAAGTGAAGCCTCCATTGCTTTTGTGATCGTAGACCCGCTCGTTAGAGACAAGGTCGCTCCATTGATAGGCCGCAAGTTCAATGCTTGCTCTTTTGTAAGATACATTCCAGGACTCCGTAGGACCGAACCCCCCGAGACCGAAAATGCTGGTGATCGTGCAAAATCTTCACTTCGTTCCTTTCCCCCCAAATCGACGATACGTTTATCGGACGATACCCTCGAATCGGTTCTTGTACCACTTGATGGTCTCCTGTTGGTTGACCTTGTGGGAAGCGCCGATCTTGCTCTGGCACCTCCTGCGCTTGGCAACACGCTCACCGGGGCGGGTCATGCAGACGTAGAAGTCCATACCGTAGATACTGCTCCAGTCAGCCAATGTTTCCCTCTCTCACTCAGGATCCAGATTCCACATACCCAATGCTGGGGTCGTACTTGATACCCAAGTCGATGTGCTCGCTGATACCGAAACCGAAGTTGCCAGACTCTGAGAAGTTGCGCTTGCGGAGCTCGTACTCCTTGACCTTGAGACCACGCTCGAGGATCTCCTCGGCCTTGGGGCCACGGACGGTGACGTGGACGGCGATCTTTTCGTTCCTTCGGATACCGAAAGTACGGACGGTGTAGCGGGCCTTGGAGTAGACGGGAGTTTGACCGGACAGCTGCTCGAGCACCTTGGCGGCACGAGTGAGACGATCACCAGACTCGCCGACGGAGATGTTGAGGACGAGCTTCTGGATGCGGAGCTCCCGCATGGGGTTGGAGGCCTTGGAGTCGGACTGTCATGGCTGTTAGTTTGCGCAGAGCAATTGGCGATGGTGGTGCGGTGCGTACCATGGTGATGACTGCGGAGGTTAGTAGTCGTTGGGTGGGTTGTCGTGTCGCTGGTGTTGAAGTCGCGGTAAAATGATTTTGGCACCTGGGAGCGGATGTGTGCGAAGCGAGCCAAGCCCGCCGTGCACGTGCCAGGCCGCGATGCGGTAGCTACGAACTCTTTGATCGCGAACAAACAGCTCTATACGCCCCGCCCATTGCCAACGTCGAGGGGACAATCTCTCCATACTCTTACCCACCAGTCTTCTGAGCTTCAAGTCGTCCTCGGACGCGCACTACCAATCATGTCTGGCGCCGCAAACCGACAGGGAAAGATGGTAAGTAAATCTGCCTAGCAGCTCGAGTCCTTGGCCTGAGAGAAGACGCGCATAGAAACTGACTGACGCCTGGTGATATAGCAAAATCTAGTAAGCGCTCCAGATTCCGCTCATAGTCGCATGCAACTCACAGAACCAGATCAACTACCGCATGAAAGTTACTCTGCAGGATGGCAGACAAATGGTCGGGCAGATGCTCGCATTCGACAAGGTCAGCGTCGCCCGCCGTTTCCCCCTCTACTCTGCTGACCAGCTCTGCAGCACATGAACCTCGTTCTCGCCGACACAGAAGAGTTCCGACGCACACGAAGAAGGGGCAAGGCCGCACCCGGCGCAACCCAGCAAGTCACCGAGACTGAAGAGCGACGCGCAATTGGACTTACCATCATTCGTGGCGCGCATGTAATCTCGTTATCTGTCGACGGACCACCGCCTGCAGACCCTGCCGCGCGACTTGGCGCGAGCGCTGGAGGACCATCTACTGCTGCCGCGCTGGCTGCAGGACCCGGTGTTGCTCGTCCTGCCGGACGTGGTCTCCCAGTCGGTCTTACTGGGCCAGCTCCTGGTGTTGGAGGCCCCGGCCCTGGGTTCGGAGGCGGTTTCCCAGGCGCACCTGGAGGCTTCGGAGGCCCGCCTGGCTTCCCTGGTCGTGGCGGCCCTCCAGGTGGACCACGTACGTTCCCCTTGAGCATATCTTGAGAACACCTGCTAACCATCTACAGCTGGATTCCCTCCCGCTGGTGGACCTCCCGGATTCGGAGCACCACCAGGCTTCGGTGGACCGCCCGGCTTCCCTGGTCGTGGTGGACCTCCTGGTTTCGGTGGCAGATAAAAGGACAATGAACGATCATAATGAAATATCGCTAGAAAGATTTGGCATTGGACCATCGAACACGGCGCGTGCCCATACCACACATCTCAGGAGATACCTTGGAAGAGGACCAAACTCACGTCCAACACGTCGCAAGGGACTGCGTGTCCCTAAATTGCGTTACAATCAGCGATTGTGAGGAGCACCGGCAGAGCGAGATACCAAGTTCAAAAGTGTACTGAGATTTGGTTGAGGAACAGGAAATATACCACTGGCTTAAATGCATTCACAAGAAACAGTCGCATCATTTCACCATAAGACATGACTGTAGCTCCAATTATCCAAGTCCAAATGTACCCATATCTTGAGTGTCTGTCATAGTGAGATGAATGAGTCCCTAGCTTCATACCCTATCTTATGCAACACTAGAGAGGTAGCGTGCAATTCGCCGACCGTACAAAAGTGACCCATGTGTAATCGTTCCAGTCACTTGTTCTATTTCCTCGTATCTCCGGCTGCATCAATGTGCACGTGAAGTCCTTCCCGTTGTCGGAAGCCCTTTGCGGTTCCCGGTCCCTGTTCGTTCGGCCCCAATTATTGCTTGGCATCTAAACCGTCCGTCGTGCGTCCGCAACTCGCAAACTGCGACCGACTGACCCACGAACTTCACGTCAATCCGCACGCAACTCGGTTCCTCGGTACCTCCCGGTAAATCAGTCAAGATGGCCGCCGCGATCAAAGCCCTCAATGCGAAGATTCGCTCCAACCCGTACACGGATTACTTTTGCTCGACTCGTATGTACACCCGTCTCGTTGTGAGGGCACTGCGCATTGGAAGAGCTTGGGAAAGGGTGCGCAGAGGATGACATCTGGAAGATACAATGAAGGAGTTGCAGAGAGAAAGAGCAGTTCGCTGACGTAAAGGTAGATTTCTGGGGCCCGGCGAGTAACTTTGGTATCCCGATTGCGGCTATTGCGGACATGAGCAAAGATCCTGAGATGTACGTTCTACACCTTTCAACTCCCTTCTTCACCTTTATCCAAACCTTTCAAACTATAAGCCATGTGTCCAGCCCTATCCTGCGGCTCCCACATTCACCCTTCCCTACCCAGACTCTCCGCTCCCACAAACTCCAGCTAACCCCTCCTCACAGCATCTCCGGCCGTATGACCGGCGCCCTTACCCTGTACTCCGGCACATTCATGCGCTACGCCATGGCCGTAACACCAGCAAACTACCTGCTCTTCGGCTGCCACGCCATCAACTTCAGCTCGCAACTCGTTCAAGGGTACCGATACCTCAACTACTGGAACTTCGGCGGCCGGGAAGCTAGCCTGGCGGGCAAGGCGGATAAGGCCAAGGATGAGGCAATGGGTATGGTGGGAAAGGCGGAGCAGAAGCTCGAGAAGGTCGCCGAGGATGTCAAGGGCGTCATTCCGAAATAAATGGGATAAAGCAGAAGTGCATGTCGGAGCAGAAGACGCCTATTGTGCATATACCAATTGATGAGCTCGTGGGTATTTCAAATGCCATCTACTTGACTCACAAACTTATTATGACACATTTATCGATACCTTGAATAAAATGTTTACACACGTAAATTACATGAGACTGCTCCTCCCCCCAATCTCATTCCCTCCCTGTCCATTCGGCAAATCACCGTCCCTCCCATCAACAAACTCCCTGTATATCCTCTCAAGACGCATTCGCTCTTGCGCCGAGATACTGCTCCGTCCACTAGAGAGGGAAGACTCTATATGTTTCCACTGGATCTCTGGATCCTTTCTCTCATCCCCCTCCTCTTCTTCTTTACTCGCTCTATCTTCATCTTCCTTCTGTGATGAACCATCGGAACGCTGAAGTTGTTTCTGTTTCTTGCGCAGAGCCTGCAGCGCAGATATCTTCTGAGCAATCATAGCACGTTCGGTGAGCTGAGCAGATGTAGCCAAGGCGGAGTTGGAGTTGGAAGATGTAGGATCGTCGCCATAGCGGAAGTAAGAAAAGTCAGGAATACCCTTGCCATTTGCCGTACCGCTGCTTCCGTCTTTCTTGTTGTGGTCGATTTTCGAGGGATCTACGTCGCCGAGTACATCGTGAATCGCTTCCAGTTGCGCGTTGTATACAACCGCCTGGAGATCGGCACCGGAATAGCCTTCTGTTCTCATTGCTATTTCGCGCAGATTCTCGCCTTCGTGGCCGTCGCCTAGGAGACTGGGCGCGAGGTGCAGTTTACGTGTTACTGCACGCAGGATGTCGATCCGTTCTTCTACGTCCGGCATGTCGCACAAGAGGGATTTGTCGAGACGACCCGGGCGAAGGAGCGCGGGATCAATCAAGTCAGGCCGCGACGTAGCAGCCAAGACGTAGACACCCGAAAGTCCTTCCGCTCCGTCCATTTGGGTGAGAAGCTGGTTCACAACACGGTCCGTTACACCTGTTGAGTCGTGTCCACGCTTCGGTGCGATACTGTCGAACTCATCAAAGAAGAGAACACAGGGTCGCGCTGCTTCCGCACGTTCGAAGAGATCGCGTACAGACTTCTCGGAAGCACCAATGTACTTGTTGAGAATTTCTGGCCCTTTGACCGAGATGAAGTTTAGACCGCACTCACCTGCTACTGCAGATGCGAGGAGAGTCTTGCCACATCCGGGGTAGCCATATAGGAGTAAACCTGATCGAAGACGTAGTGGGCATTTTGCGAAAATGGGCGCGTAGGTTGTAGGATATTGAAGGGTTTCCATGAGAACCTGTCTCGTTGTGTGCAGACCACCGATGGAATCCCATTTTGTGGTCGAAGATTGTAATGTGACGTTTCGCAAGGAGGCGGGGGTGAAGCCGGTAATAGCTTGACTGTAATCCTCTCGTGTGAGGGACACAGTAGGGGACGTAGATGTGACTGAACGAATCAACGCTTCGTTGCGGGCGCGCGATGTGAGTAACACAAGATCGCCGGGCATGTATCCGTCTGTCTGGCCGGCGAGATCGAGAAAGTCGATCGTGGGATCGATGGTGAAAGCGTAATCGTCAGAGGGTTGCTGTGGTATGCTGTCAATGCTAGGTTGACTGCGGTGAGCGGTACTGGGTCGGCTCTCTGATGGTGATGGTGGAAAAGCATGGCCATTTGGTTCCTGGGATTGCTCCACTTTAGCATCCTTGAAGGCGAGCATCTCAAGGACCTTCCTTCTACCGTCTTTATTGGGCGCTTTGAGACTGACAATCTCGCGGACGATATGTCCACCAACGATGACATTGTTCAGGGACTCTTTACCTTGCGCAGTTGCTAGCAGCACTACACCAGAGTCCATGGAACAGTACTGTCTGACGATATTGATCAGACACTCGCTGACATGTCGACTTCGTCCGTTGTCGTTGCCAACTTGAAGCTCAGTCTCTACAGGACATAGCTTGTCCAGGTCATCCAGAATGACCACAGCATTTCCACCCCCTCTTGCGCCCCATGATGCTGAAGCAAACAGTCTGTTCAAAGTCTCTTTGATAGTTGCAACTCGTGTCTCATCCGTTACAAGTTTGCGACAGGGGAAATATATGGTGTTGAAAAGATATTCAGTCCGAAGTTGGTGGGCAAGTAGCTGCGCACATTCCGACTTTCCTGCTCCCAAACCACCAGTGAGTAGAACGGAAGAATTGTGCGTTAGATGTGATCGAAGTTGCTGGATAAGAGGATCTATGCCAACCAGATTTGCGGGCGTCTGTGGAAGCGGATCACCTTGCTGCCAGCCTTTAGCCCAGCTTGTTGGCATTGACACTTCCTGACCAATCTCAAGCGGTGGTTTCCTTTCAGGGAAAAGCACCCATGAGACTCCAGTTGTCGGTGCTAGTGGTTCAAACCTTACAATGCCTCCTTGCCAGCTGAGCTCGGAGTCCTTAGGCGCAGGCAGTATCATCCCATCCGTGACTGGCCCGTCAAGGAGTCCATTCTTCTTCCCGTATATTGTTTTGATCTTTTCTATCGCTTTCTCTTGATCTTGCTTAGACTCGCCACCAAACTTTAACGAGGCATTGACTTGTGATGCAACAGTGGAGAAGGGGATGACCTTGATGGACTTGACAATGGGTTCTCTAGACTCCTTCGTTGGCTTGATCGCTGGCGGTTTGGGAGTTTGAGCTGGAGCGCCTTCGAGTCGGACGAGACCGCCGACAAAGTTCTCGAAACCCAGGACCTTGCAGAGGTCAGTTGAAAGGGCTACATGCCGACTGTCTGGCGCGTCTTCCCATGCCATGATCTTAGCAACGACGCGTGTCGCAGGCTTCTCCTGCTCCTGCTCCTTGGACATGTCGACTGGCTCTTGTAGTCCTGCGGGCTTGATGATTGACACAGAGACCCAGTTGGCGCCTCTGAGAGCCTTGGTGAGTAGTACATCCTTGTCCACCCACACTCTCAGCCCTCCAGCGTCTATGTCTTCTTCTTCATCGAACCACTCTTGTGCCACACTGCGATCGAGTCCGCGCAAGAAGATGACCCCCTTGCTTGCAGCGTCCTCGCGGCCACTGCGCCGGCGGACTGTACTCGCAGTGCTCTTTCCGCTCTTTCTCGAGGCAGCGCCCACGCTCCTGCTTTCCCGGGTTGAGCTCCTCTCCTTTTGTCTTGTCTTAGGCGCGACAATGACCTCGGCGTCAGGCGAGATCTTGACGAAGAGGGATGTGTTGGCCGGTGCAGGAGCGATGGAAGTGACGGTTATGTTTGCGGTCGTTGTAGGGGATAGATGCAGCGTAAGAGGATGGGGCGCTCCAGCCTGGGGGTTCGGGAGTGCGCGTATCTGAGAGAGGAAGTTCAATTCCAAGAATTGGGCATGCAGCTCGATCATCTCCCAGTCCACGGGGGTCAAGGGCTCGATGTTGATGGTATGCGCCTGTGGAGGATCCACGTGTAGTATTATTCCTACCTTCTGCCCCTCTTGCAGGCCGATCAGTCTGGCGAAGGTGGCATCCACCTCCACAGCTGGCAGGTCTTGTTGGCTGACTGCTGGACTGCCTCTCAGGCCGTCTCGCCCGACTACAGGCGCAATCCTGCGCTTGCTCTGCATGCCCGTCCATCCCACGAAAACCGACTTGGGCGCGGTATTCCTATTGTCCGAGGCACCCGGTGGTGGAGGTTGGCGGTATGTGAGCTCGACGACAACATTCTGGGCGACCGTGTTCGCATTCACGAGTACGGAGACGAGCGAGGACGGGAGGTTGACAAGGCAATTCTTGAGCGACTGTTGCAGGGCAACCTCAGCCTGGACAACGTTGCCGGCAGGCTTCTTGGGCGGCATGATGGCGAGAGTCGAGGAGTGAAGGAAGTTGGTACTGCTGCAGCTGCAATCGCATGGCGCATACCTCAAGCTCCCGATGCTCGCATGCGGACCGAGGTTGGGGTGTTCGTCGGCGCCGATGGCCTAAAGCGGTGGCAGAAAGCGGCGGTCCAATCGCTCGACTGCCCTGGAAACGCGGGTAGACGCGACTGGAGCTGCAACGCGACCAGCCCCAATTTTGCTACCGCGCATCCCTCCCCGCTGCATCACTGCACCACGCCCAGACACGTACTTTCACACCAACCCCAGACAGAATGGCGCTCCTTACCACGAGTGCGCCCGTCAACTATGACGAGCAGGAGGGTAAGCGGGCACGGGCAGGACACCGACAACCCCCAGCTAACAGCCAACAGCTGCCTTTGTTGACTTTCTCAAAAACTACAAATCCGCCTCGACAGATGCTGCGGACCAGCTCGAGGGCCTGAACATCAATGGCCATGGCGAAGAGGAATACGATATGGTGGACGACTCGGACGATCCCGCGCCAAACGGAAATGGGGCGCAATCCCGCAGCAAGTCGAAGCTCAAGTACATGGACCAACTGCAAGACGTAGCGAATCGCGTGCGCGACGAGATCCAAATAGACCTCAACGACGTCGAAGCATACGAGAAGGCGACATCAGACGACGAGCACAACTACAGGCTGGTCGAGTCCATCGAGCGCAATGCCCACCACTACATCGAGATCTTCTCGCGAGCCGTCGACAAGTGCCTGCCTCAACCGACCAGGGAACTCGACTTTAAAGACGATGTCTTGGACGTGATTATGACGCAGCGCTCCAAGCGCAACGAAAGACAGCAGGAGATGCAGGGAGTCGACGACAATTCACAGGCTGCGCCAGAAACCATGTTTCCTCCTGCATTGACCAGGCGATACACCCTCAACTTCAGGCCCAGGATACCGTCTGGTTCCAGCAGCCAGCGCAGCACAAAGGCGCTAGCGGTCCGCAATGTTCGCGGAGAGCACCTGGGTCACCTCATCACAGTTCGCGGTATTGCAACCAGGGTGTCGGACGTCAAGCCTGCCGTACAGGTCAATGCCTACTCCTGCGACCGCTGTGGAAGCGAGGTTTTCCAGCCCGTGACGACCAAGCAATTCACCCCTCTCGTTGAGTGCCCGTCCGACGATTGCAAGAGCAACAAGACCAAGGGCCAGCTCTTCCTCTCGACCCGCGCCTCCAAGTTCCTTCCATTCCAAGAAGTCAAGATCCAAGAGATGGCCGATCAAGTTCCTGTTGGCCATATTCCTAGACAGCTGACTATCCACTGTCATGGCGCACTCGTCAGACAGATCAACCCCGGCGATGTCATTGACTGTGCTGGTATCTTCCTCCCCACACCCTACACTGGCTTCAAGGCAATCCGAGCCGGTCTCCTCACCGACACATACCTCGAAGCCCAATATGTCATGCAACACAAGAAGGCCTACGACGACATTGTGCTTGCCCAGCCAACTCTGCGGAGGATGAACGAACTCGAAAGGACTGGTCAGCTGTACGAGTACCTGTCGCGATCTATCGCGCCTGAAATTTTCGGTCACGTCGACGTCAAGAAAGCCCTTCTCCTCCAGCTCATTGGTGGTGTCACAAAGGAGGTCGGCGACGGTATGCGAATCCGTGGTGACATCAACGTCTGCTTGATGGGTGACCCTGGTGTGGCCAAATCCCAATTGCTTAAGTACATTACCAAAGTAGCACCCCGTGGTGTCTACACGACTGGTCGTGGTAGCAGTGGTGTTGGTCTTACCGCCGCCGTCATGCGCGACCCAGTCACAGATGAAATGGTCCTTGAAGGAGGAGCTCTTGTGCTAGCTGACAACGGCATGTGCTGCATTGATGAGTTTGACAAGATGGATGACAGCGACCGAACAGCCATCCACGAAGTCATGGAACAGCAAACAATCTCTATCAGCAAGGCTGGCATTACAACCACTTTGAACGCTCGCACGTCGATTCTCGCGGCTGCTAACCCCCTATACGGCCGCTACAATCCTCGCCTCTCGCCAATCGAGAACATCAACCTCCCTGCTGCGCTCCTATCTCGTTTCGATGTCTTGTTCCTTATCCTCGATACCCCTGCGCGAGACTCTGACGAAGAGCTGGCTCGTCACGTCACTCACGTGCACATGCATAATGCTCATCCCGAGGCCCCTGGTGGCATTATCTTCAGCCCTGCCGAAGTACGACAATGGGTTGCTCGCGCACGATCATACCGACCAACCGTGCCAAAGGAGGTATCAGACTACATGGTCGGCGCCTACGTCCGCATGCGTCAACAGCAGAAGCGCGACGACGGCAACAAGAAGGCCTTTACCCACACTTCGCCGCGTACGCTGCTTGGTGTACTTCGTCTTGCACAGGCTCTGGCACGTCTACGATTCGCCGAACAAGTCATTTCGGAGGACGTTGACGAAGCTCTTCGCCTTACCGAAGTCAGCAAGGCCAGTCTGTATGCCGATGAGAACCGCGGAATCGATCATACGCCGAGCAGTAAGATCTACCACCTCATCAAGTCCATGGAGGCTAGCGGTGCTGCTGCTGTTGGTGATGGCACAAGGGGTGAACTTGATCTCCGCAGGGTCAGGGAAAGGGTTTTGGCCAAGGGCTTCACAGCCGATCAGTTTGAACAAGCTATCGACGAATATTCCTTGCTCGACGTAAGTATCACTGTCCAATGTTCTAGGAGGCTCACCGTACTAATGCTTCTTGATAGGTCTGGCAAACAACTGGAGAAGGCACAAGGCTTGTCTTTATCGAGGCTGGGTTGGAGGATGAGGATATGGATGCTGATAACGACTTCTAGAGCATGGGATTGGAATGTTGGCATTGGATGTAGTAGTGTCTGTTTACGGCGTACCAAGGCGTTGGATATCCGAACGACGTTGAGCGCGCGTCTACTTTGCTTGCAGCTGTTTGTAGCTTCGCATAGAAATTCCAATGAAGCAACGACGAACCAATGCTTCTTTGATTGTTGTCTACTGAATGTCGCGTGCGCCAGGGTCGCTGTCACATGCCAAGGCAGCCGTCTGCAAGCAAGCATCATCGGTGCGTGGTGAACCCTCGCGGGGTCGCTACCGAAAAGTGGGAGAGCTCAAGTCCCCCAGCCCTGTTTCACTGTACCCTCTCTCACAACAACTCACGTTTTCTCTGATTACTCATGTGGTGAGATTTCGCTACAAGCCTCGTCCACGGTCCTACCTTCTTAAAGAGGTTACTTCCAACAGCGAATCTCGCGACGCGGCAGAAACCGACAGATAAGCTTGCGCCAGCTGTTCGCATCTCCCTGCGATCTTCCCGTCAATCGCAAATTCATACAGATTCGCCTTCTCCAGCATTCTCAAACATGGCTCAAGGCGCAGCAAACAACTTTGCGCAATTCATGGTTGTGGGACGTAAGTAGACCCCTCCATGCTGCCTCAGCCCACTTCCACAACGTTCAATTGCGCCCCGAATGCACCTGCTGACGAGCTCGCAGCAACATGTTTTTTCCTCGGAATCATGTTTGCGCAACTACCTTATGACTACAATGTCTTGTGGACTGTGCCTGCCGACCGAGCGACCTACTTCGACATTCTTGAATCGCACATCCAGTTCCTCTATGCCTCTCCTCCCATCGTGTCGCGCATCCTCAACCTAGCCATCGGCACCGGTCTCCTCGGCTTTCTTATCAAGCTCTTCAAGCCAAACCAGGCCAACATGCTCTTCGATGGCGCGTCGCTTGTTCTCTACATGGCTGGTATCACCGTGTACCTCACCAACATCGTCAAGGGTTTCAGGGTCGTGACGGCAGGCATCTACGGAGACGTGAACAAAGCGGCCCCGGGGGAGATTACAGACGAGGATATGGGCGATTACATCTCGAGGGAGGACACGTTGAGGGTCTTTGCGGCTAGTAACACGATTCTGGCGCTCGTGTTGGTGGGTGTGCTGGTGCTGCAGGCTGGGCAATGGTATGCCAAGAGGGCCGAAGAGAAGGAGATTGAAGAATTCGAGCGTCAGGCTGAGGAGAAGAAGGGCGCGGGGAAGAAGAAGCAGTAGATCATCACTCCTCCGATGGAGTGGGCTGATGGGTAGCGGATGCGCTTTCCAAAGCATTGGGTTTAGGTCGAGTAGGCTTCCAGTTCTTATTCCTCTTTTGTCTTGTGCAATGATAAAGGGCTGGGATTTATTTGTTAGTATGCCGAACAAGTTTTGTAGGAACAATGAGGCGTGTAACAAGTACTTATGACATACATGGGTCTCTGTGCTCAGTATCCATCTCGATTGTGGCTCTTGATTTCTTAGTGATCAGTATGAACGGCCACTCTTCTCACTCGTACGATTCTCATGTTTCCTTGTTATCCAAAAAGCTCTCTGTTTGCTGTTACCACGTAGCGCCTTCCTGTTTGGTACACCTCAACCAGCAACAGCAGCTCACATCTGCCGGTCTCGACCTCTCCAGTCGAGCTCATCTGCATCTCTACATCGACCAGAACCTCTTTCCTCGATAATCGGCGACGAGCCAGCTTGATCGGGGCACACCAACGGGCTGCTAGCGTTACTCATCTAATCGACTGCCATACAGTTGCAATCATTCCTTCTCACCGTTCACGAGTAAGCATAGGCCGAGCCGGAGACGATCGCTACTGCTGAACATCGACACGTCATACAAGGGAAAGCAGTCGCAATAACCAACAATGCCGCAGCGCGAGGCATCCACCGCTTACGAACGCAAACAGAAAGCAAACGGAATGATACGACGAGACCAAAGCACTGCGATCTCAGCCAATGGTCTACTCAGTAAACAATTCGCCAGCATCACTGACGTTCTTCTCAAAGCAAGCCAGCGACGTGATCAGAACCTGCAGCAAAGGCTGTCGAGACCAGTGCCCATTTCAACAACATTCAGGCCTGTGAGCAAGCCTCTTGTCGCCGCTGAATCAGAGCTATCAGAAGTTAACGCTTGCGGTGACGATCATATCGATCTTGAACAAGTCAAACAAAGCAATAAAGATATTGTCGGGATCAATTCGATGACGGCTGGCACTAATGAGGGACAGTCGGGTGAGCATATACGTATCCTGTCATTACATCCAGTCCAATTTCATTGACTCGCAAGTAGATGTGTCGGGGACACAGACCAGTCTCCGTGGCTGTGACGTACCGGAGTATGCCGAGAATCCCAGGATGATGCTCGCTGAGCTGGAATCGTCGAGCCCAGAACATTCCGGTCGTGATGTGAATGAGGAGCTTGACGACAGCTATGGCCAAGAGAACACCCGGGTAGACACGAAATGTGTCTCATCGTTGATGAAGGGTACCGCCGTTGAGCACGTCAACGATCCGAAAGGCATACCTACAAGCCCCAGCATAGATGAGGCAGACGCCTTATCGATCTTGGCTAGGCGTCTGGGCATCGACGGTAATGAGAACAAGGTTTTTGAAAGTATCGAATCCACGTTTGGTGAGCTTGACGAGCAATTCTCTAATGCAAGCCACACCGAGGATAAAGACAACGACCTCAAGGCTCTCCGTGAAGAGCTAGCGACTGTATTTTCGCCACCATGGGATACAACCTCTCGAGACTTCCAGCGTACCACTAGGGACACACCCGTCAATAGCATGAGATCGAACCCTCAAGAGCACGCGGTTGAAAATCTTCAGCCAGACGACACACCACCTGCTGCTTCCTTGATATTGGAGCCTGGGGATGCTGAGTGCAAGGATGTCCAGGTCGGGTGCACACAGCCCTTCAGTGACGGCATAGGCGAACAGGAGACTCAGAGAGAAAAAGAAACGATGCTCGAAAGGGAGAACGAAAAGCTTGAAGCGACTATAAAGTATGTTCTGGAGGAGGAGAAGAGATACCGTGCAATTGAGGAGAACAAGCGCCTTAAAACCCGTCTGATCGTCTCTAACCTGGCTGCTGATGTGGATGATAAAGCCATCCGTGCCTTCTTCGCTAAATATGTAACGGAGATGTAAGTAATTTACCCCATCTACATGTCCAACGAACACTATACTACTGCGTATTTCACTAGCCGCAATGTCACCATTCTATCAGTACGCGATCCAGTCAAGAGGACTAGAACAGCGTACGTCGATATGTACAGCAGGAAAGTAGCGGTTCGTGCATCATACGAGGTCGGAAGTATTTTTGGATTGATTGTGAAGATCAAGTTGGCAGTGGAGTAATGGGGGTCGAAGGGTGACTTTTGTGTATATAAGTCGTCAGGGCCATGGTGTATTGTATCTTCTCAAGAGACCTAATCAGTAGCTATGTTATAAGTAATACATATCTCTCATACACTATACAGCAGCTCTTTTAAACAAGCTGTCTCTCAAGCTCCTTTGTCACTTGCTAACGCCTTCTCCAACTCACGATCAGCGCTCAACTCCTTTTCTGCCCCCTCTATCACGCCCCTGAGTCCCTTGGCACAGGCGTCCAACTGCGCCCTCTCCTCCTCATCAAGCTGAATCGGCATCGCCTTGATGATACCCTTCCGACCTACCACTGCCGGCATCGACAAACAGCAGCCCAACTCAGGTTGGTAGAAGGACAATGGTCGAACAGAGCGTGAGTCGAATAGGATATACTTGCAGATACTAGCCGCAATGTTTCCGATGCCATATGCAGTACAACCTTTGGCCGCAATAATGGCACCAGCTGCTCCTCGGGTATGAGACGAGATTTGGCTTTTGAATTCTGAAGTCAATGTGTTTGGCGGGAGAGCAAGCGCGAGCGGTGTTGTGCCGATTGTAGCACTTGACCAGGCGATCTGTCTCTTGCATTAGCATATACATAACCTGGACGTCTTCCTCGATTGAGTCCTTTCTTCGCCGCAAAGAGGGGTAAAGAACACTTACAAACTGGCTGTCTCCATGCTCCCCAAGCACATACGCGTCAATGCTGTTCGGTGCTACCTCCGCCTTCTCTGCCAAAACACCCCTCAACCGCGCAGAATCCAAACTCGTCCCTGTCCCCAACACCTGGTTCTCGGGTAATCCAGACAACCTCCTTGCAAAATATGTCAAGATATCCACTGGATTCGCCACCAGTAGCAAAATCGTATGCGGGCTGATCGGAGCCATGGCCCCAAAGATACTTTCCAGGATATGTAAGTTTCTGGAAAGCAGTGATAAACGTGATTCTCCAGTCTTTTGTTTCGCGCCCGCGGTTATGACGACGATGTCAGCTTGGCCAGCGTCCTTGTGAGTGCCTGCTCGGACTTTCACGCCACTGCCGCCACGGTAGGTTGCGTCGTTCAAGTCGCGGACTTGAGCTTCTAGCAGGGAGGCTTTGAGATCCACGAGGATTACTTCTGAGCAGATGGGTTGGAGGATGAGGGTGTAGGCTAGAGTGGAGCCGACATCTCCGCAACCGAGGATTGCGATTGTGGTTTTTAGCTTGGGAGATGCCATGTATGCTGCTACTCTGTTTTTATTTTAGATGTGAGTAGGGTTAGATGAGTACGTGGATTGATGTTGCGAGAGGTAACGTAGTGAGAAACGTAAAAGTGCGAGGGTCGTAGACGTTCGACTATAAGAAGGAAATGGGAACGCAATCTGATCATCCGGTGTTGAATGTACCTATTTGTACGTGAGCCCGTAGTCGCAAGTTGTGGTTCGTCGCCAAGGCCTGGGCTGCAGAGAAGTGGTGTGATGTATGGTGGAGCTCAGCCACTCACAGTTCGCCTCACCATGCGAATACGTGCTTACAGCACCAACCCAACTGCGATGTTACGGAGACTTTTATTGTCGTGTTTAGTTGGATACATGATATATCATGGCTTTGACTCGGATCATGCACTAGATAAATCGAGTGCTCAAAACATCTGCTGATATGCCCACTGATTCTGCACATCGTCCTCCAACGGCAGCGTCGTCTTCTGCAATTCCTTTGCTACTTTATCAGCCTCACCCCAGACCCGAAGCAGGTTGCCTCCTGCAATCTTTGCAGCATCCTCATCGCTGATTCCTTGTCTCAACAGTTCGGCGATGAGATCGGGGAACTTGGATACATCTTCTAATCCCTTCGGTGTCTTTTCAATGCCGTCGTAATCTGTGCCGATGCCAACGTGATCATAGCCAATCAATTCTCCAATGTGCCTAATGTGGCGCACCACATGCGCCAAGGTATTGTTCTCTGGAACAAACTCTGGGAATGAGTTCGGTGTCCCAGAAGCTTTACAGGACACGAAGTCTGGGTTGAAATTGACCATGACAACAGAATTGCGCTGCTTCACGAGCTGAAGTATGTCATCCGGGACGTTTCGAGGATGTGGACAGATTGCGTGTGCAGAGCTGTGACTAAAGATTGGGGGTGCGATGCTACCAGTCCAATTCCCGTCGCCTCGGCCTACAAGGACATCGCGCATAGTATCTTGACTCACGTGCGCAAGATCCACCAACATTCCCAGGCGATTCATCTCTTTTACGAGGTCGCGACCAGCTGGGCTAAGACCCTTCCAGTACGGTTTCGCGATATGCGCGCTGAAGTCGGAGCCAGTCTCAATTGCTGCATCGGCATATTTGTTGTGGCAGTTCCATGTCAAAGTCGCATATCTGACTCCAAGCTGATAGTAGAGTCGTAATGTAGAGACTGAGTTGCCGATCTGGTGCAGGCCTTCAATAGCTGCTGGGGCAATGAAATTGCCGCTTTCGAAAGCTTTGATAGCCTCTGCGCTGTTCCTAGATGGAGTGAAGTACTTTGGGTAGTTTTGGCCTAGGCGGTTAAACAGATCCAGTTGACCCAGCGTTGCCTTGACGACTATATATATTAGCAGCATACTCGCTGGACGTTGTTTCGTACTAGCTTACTGTCATAGTATCTATCATCCGCAAAGTTCGTCTCATCACCCAGTGGGCAGAGCCAAAATGCGCTCCAGAATGCACCGCCTTGTAGCCCCTTTTGAAGGCGAGGGATATCGACGTGTTGCGCTAGTCCGCCATTCTCGAACTTGTCTGCAAAGTCGCTGCCGGACTCGTTGTAGATGTGATTCTTGTATGTGCCTCGAATGAAGATCATAAGGTCATTATGGCCATCTCTTAGGTAGTCA